CGGCCATGCTCAACTCGTAAAAATTTAACGCATAAAAAATTAAATCACCTCATTTTAACCAAAATTCGTAAAAATTTACAGCAGTAAAAATTACCCGTTATACGGTATATTGCAATAAATAATTGCAATATAATATGTAATAATCTTCATTCTTTTGTCAAGCAATATACGTTTTATGCCATCAGTTTGAAATAAAATTTCAAGTAGAGTTTTTTAAATGCACTGTAATTATATTCTTAAAATATTTTTCAAAATATATGAAGATTTTACATCCAATATGTAATGATTTTTTCTGAAAATTCAAAAGATTAATTCTTTTAGTAAGATCCAGATTAATTAATTGTCTTACCAAAGTATACACTGATAACCCCTATAGATTTAAACCACACAGAAAAATTATCTAATGGAGAAAAATTAATAGCAAATAAGTTTAGCTAATTAATTTCCTGATTATGATTTTAAATTATGTATATATAAACATGGAATCCATTGTTTACTGTAAAAATGTGTCCTTTCAACAATACAAATCAATTTTAAGTACTGGACATTGTTATATCTCTAATTAAATGATCAAATGAATAATTTATATTATTTTAATAGATACACTCTTCACACCTTTAAGGTAATCCAAGAGGAGTGTCTTTAAATTTTGTTTTAAATCTTATTGCTGGTCAACAGTACGAATTTGATTCAATTTCTGATAAAACTTGCCAGATTTTGCCATCATTTAAGTGCTTGTATACTTAAAATCCGAATATTCGAATCATAAATTTATATTCGAATATCAACTTATCGAATTAATATTCGAATATTCGTTGACATCCCTAATCACTAAGCATGGCTTTGAAGTACTTGAAAAGAAGATTTTAAAATATTTCCCTATATATTCCTATGTAAAACTTTTATCGGCCATTTGGCCCCACACTACCCCCGGGGGGTCATGATTTGAACAAACTTGAATCTACACTACCTGGGGATGATTCAACAGGAGTTTCATCTTTCTTGTCTCAATGGTTCTTGAGAAGATTTTTCCTATGTATTCCCATGTAAAACTTTGATCGGCCATTTTGGCCCCACCCTACCCCCGGGGGGTCATGATTTGAACAAATTTGAATCTACACTACCTGAGGATGATTCCACATGAGTTTTATCTTTCCTGGGCCAGTGGTTCTTGAGAAGAAGATTTTTTCCTATATATTCCTATATAAAACTTTGTTCGGCCATATTGACCCCACCCTACCCCCAGAAGTCATGATTTGAAGAAACTTGAATCTATACTACCTGAAGATGATTCCACATAAGTTTTATCTTTCCTGGCCCAGTTGTTCTTGAGAAGATTTTTCCGATATATTCCAATGTAAAACTTTGATCGGCCATTTTGGACCCACCCTACCTCCGGGGGTCATGATTTGAAGAAACTTGAATCTACACTACCTGAGGATGATTCCACGAGTTTCATCTTTCTTGGCCCAGTGGTTCTTGAGAAGAAGATTTTGAAAGATTTTTCCTATATATTCCTATGTAAAACTTTGATCGGCCATATTGGCCCCACCCTACCCCCAGGGGTCATGATTTGAAGAAACTTGAATCTATACTACCTGAGGATGATTCAACACGAGTTTCATCTTTCCTGGCCCAGTGGTTCTTGAGAAGAAGAATTTTTAAAAATGCCATTAATTTTTCTCTAATTCATAATTATCTCCCCTTGGAAAGGGGCGTGGCCCTTCATTTGAACAAACTTGAATCCCCTTTACCCAAGGATACTTTGTAGCAAGTTTGGTTGAAATTGGACAATTGATTCGTGAGAAGAAGATGAAAATGTGAAAAGTTTACAATGACGACAACAACAGACAACGGAGAAATTTTGATCAGAAAAGCTCACTTGAGCCTTTGGCTCAGGTGAGCTAAAAAGTAAAGATCATTATATCACTGCCCAACATGAATTCTCCTGCCCTGTGTTATACAGTTAAACTTTGGTATCTTGAACCTCTGTAGCTTGAATTCCATGGACATGTGGAAATTATCTACCTTTTCTTAAGGTAATTCAACATCTAATCTTAAGAAATCTCTTAGCCTAATTAATTTATTTCAAGACAACCAAGTTTGACTGTAATTAACTTACAAGGACAATTTTCACTGTCCACTATGACATCATCAATGGCGACGTGATTAAGCCCTAGCGTGCCTCGAGTGGCCTTGAAAATCAGCGACATTTCTGTGTCAGAGGGTATCACTGAGCAGAAGCTGTTCCACTGGCTTCCTTGCTCCCCTTGTTTTTGGAGTAATATTTCCCCCAGACGACGTCCCTCTCTGCCCTCAGCCCACACCGTGAAGTGCCCCGTCATTGCTCCATTCATGTGGTAGTAAAATCTCAAGTGTGCATTTGAAGGAGATGTAAAGTTAGGCGATTTTAAGGTAGCACTATCACCTTCATTTCCATTCAAGTTTTGGTAGAACATGAAAGAACCTATTGGTTAGAAAAAAGTCATGATCAACTATACAGCTCATTTACCTGCGATATGTATATACATGTACTGACAAATTACAGCATACAGGCATCACAAATACTTTTCAATACATGTACAATTAAAATTTATAGATTTTTTTCTTTTCATCATTCCCATTGTCAGTCTGAAGCTGGTTTCTGGCAGTTATAGACTTTCATACTGTTTCGCAAAATGTGACTTTTAACTTCCCAGTGTCACTGTAAGACATTTTCAAGGGGTCGTATTTTATGATCTAAAGATAAATTGTTTGCGAGGGTTGAATTTTGTTGGTGATAAGCACCAAATTGTTATATAAATTAAATTTTATTTCATGAAGGACATGAGTTTGTGGTTTTCCTCTTTCCCAAATATCAAGGGAAATTAAATCTAATGAAAATTAGTGAAATCCTAAAACCTAAAATTCTATCTTTGTATTTGTCCACAAAATTCTGCAAAAGAAATTAACCCTTTAACAACAATTCTCTCACCATTGCTAACTGTGTGATCATCTGGAAGATCTATTCCATAATTGAACGATCCACCGATCTTCCACTGGGAGTTGGGGTCAGTGTTGCTATAGTTACAGGTCGCTCCGTTAAAAGTACAGTTTACACTCGGCTCTGAATATGGATGGCACAGAGAGGGGTTGCATGTTCCATTAAAGATGTACAAATCATCAATAGCTATGTCTGAATAGGAGCCTGGCCCTCTTACAGCCTCTATAGTCACCTGAAAATTAAAAGTAGATAATAATTAAGCTCTAGTTCCAAGGGAAAGGAATACGTTATGCAAGCAAGGGCACATGCTACATTTAAAGGAAAAAGCTGTCAAAGTGACAAGAAAACTAAATTTTCTCTTGTGTAAATAGCTATGGTATTTCTCACATAAAATGAAATTAACTTTCTATTCTAAAAAGTGCAGCAAGTGATCGACATCAAAACAAAGTTCAACAAAATTTATGAAAAATTTAAAATCCATGCACTATGAGGGTTGCCCTAAAAAGTCATAGACAGGGTAAACAATTTAGTTTTTTTCACCACCATGCATTTTTTTTTGGTCAAGTAAAAGACAATATATATGATCATGAATTTAAAGTTTTGTAAAAAGAAATATTTCACTAAAAACTATATATAACTAGTGCTAATTGTAACGGCAACCGTTACAGATGTTCCCCAAATGCTCCCCAACTCCCTTTTGGTGCCATATTCCCTTAAGCTTCATTAAATAAGGCAAACTCTATGCATTTAAAGGGCGAGGTTTTCAACTGTACGGTTTTCCTCAGGTAAGTTTGGTGTGGGGTGGAGCTTAATCTAAGCGGCTGAGAAGCCCCGAGGGAACGACGCTGACTTGTGTATACTACCTATATACACAGGATATTACCTGAGTGTATTACCTGTATGCGTTTTCCTACGACATTGAAAAACGAAGCCGTTTTTTTCCATGTGTAACTCAATTGAAATGCATGAAATAAAGCATTTTTTGCGGCCAGAATCCTTCTAAAATTCTTTCTTTTAAAATTAATATTTCAAATAATTCGACATTTTTAATATACTGCGTGTTTGTTCATCAAATGTTATAACGGAAATACATGTAGCACAAATATCTGTCGTTATAATCTGGCAACAAAAAGGGAAGTAATTCAAATTACACGTTGTGTACACAAAACGAAAAGAGAAAGTGGGTCATAATTAAGTCTTTCGGTAAATAACAATTAAACTTGGAACCATGTTTTGAGAATAAATTGTTCAGAAATATTATTGTCTAAATCAATATTTTTTTTAAAGATAAACCCTACGTGATTTTACCATAACGCATGGTCTGTAAAAATGGCCAAGGGTTCAGATCGGAGATGATTCCCTGACAGCTAGGCCAATGGGTGAAATGGGAATGGAAACATCAGCATCATACATTTTTCTTTCGGGATTCATAATTTCAAATATTAATTAAATGCAAAGCAAGATGTTATTATAATCTCTTCTAAAACTGGTTAAATATAACGTAACTTCGTCACCATGTCTCGAAGAATTAGCGACATGTACAAATTTGTCTTATAAATAAATATAAATTTCACGTGACTCCTGAACAATGTAAACAGTTACAATGTTGCCATCCTTGTTTTAAAAAATAATTTTATTTAATTCCATGATCATACTAACTTCAAACGCGGGTTGGTTTATTTTGTTAATTATGGAGGAATAAATATGCGTTAACCCATGCTTTGAGAAATTAAAATGATCTATTGTAATTGTGAATGAAATGAAATTCCCCCTATCAAAATTGAAATTATAAAATATAGGCATTATTTTTTTTATCATTTACTTAATTATTTGATGGATAATTATACAGTGGAGCCTCATTTATCCGGACGCTTTGGTCCTAGTCAATTTGTCCGGATATGTGAAGCGTCCGGATATCTGAATTACCAGTTAAACAAGAACAAATAACATTAAAAAATTCTGTTCCGAAGAAAAGTCGTCCGGATACTGAAGCATCCGGATATCTGGCGTCCGGATATCTGAGGGTCCACTGTACTTACGCCACATTCTTATGAATTAAACAAGAACGCTTTGCCTGCTTCTTTATACACGTTGGCATATGCGGTAGGCATCAAAAGCCTGAATGTTAATTCGATGGTCAGTACGATCTTCAGACAAGGTACACAAGATATACACAACGGCAGCAAACTAAAAGTCAATCAAATCAAAGTATCCAATACCAGGCTTAATTTCAGATGATTGACAGGGGTTCTAAGACTAGGTAAATTTGAGGGAGGTGCTTATTTCCTCCCCCTTTAAGACTTTAACAACGTTTTCCCACAAGTATACCAAGTATATTCAAATTTTAGCAATGCACGCGTGGGCATGTGAATGCATGTGTATAATGACAATAGCAACTTGTCTACACTATTTAGAAATTTTGATATACTAAATATTGAAGCATTTAATCCAAAAGTATTAAAAAATACGTTTAATGAAGAGTATTTGTAATTTTACTCATTTCACGTGCACGCACATGCATGATGACCATATTTTTTTGTTAGAGTTTATTATGTCTATCTATGTTCTAAATCATCCTCTTTGGTTGAAAATCAAGGGAGTTATAGCCATTTAAAGTTTAAGCCAATCAGATTGCAGAGCACATGCATGATTTCATTATAATTGTTATAGTCACATTGTAGCATATCTTAATACATGACTTTATTTCAAATTTCAAAGCATTTCATCAAAAAACAAAATAGATATTGAGATTTTTGTTTCAACCAATCAGAGCGAAGTGCAAGTGCATGCGCGCGAGTTTGTGCTAATTTGACAGTGTCACATTGCCTACATTATCAAAATATCCTTATATAGTAAGTTTTAAAGCAATTCATCAAAAAATGTAAAAGTTAAAGCTACAAAGCATATCAGTCATTTCACTCCTTTCACGCCCACGCACGTGCATTCGCATGCACGCAAAATGACCTTCGTTCCGACCACCTACACTACACACCTATTTACCCTAAA